GTCGGGGGACGGATGCAATCGGGAAAGGAAGGAGCTGGATTTAAGGGGAAAGGGAAGAAAGAGGGCAGGAGAGAAGTGGTGGGATCTGGCACGCTGGAGGAGGGGGCAAAGGGAGGGTGGCGGGGTGCGTGTCCGGGGAGACATCGCCAGCCTCCCGTGGCCAGGTGAGCCCGGGCGATGCTGCGGGGAGAGCAGAAAAGCAGTGTGCGCTGGGGGGAGAGGGGCTGCCCGCGCCCAGCTCTGCCTCCAGCGCTGGCTCAGCGCGGCCATCAATCACCCTGCGTGTCAAGTTAAGCCTCGGTTAATGGTGTCAGCATAAAAGGCTCTAACTGCCCTGTTTAAACGGCTTCAGCAGCAACGTGGTGAAAAGGCCTGGCCCAGACGCGGCGCATCTGGCTCCGATCCCTCCTGCCTTGCACACAGGGCCTGGTGCCAGGCTCGGGCGGCGGGCAGCGGGCAGCCGCCTGGCTCGGGCCCCGAGCTCGAGAGCCGGGCCGGTGGCGGGCCAGGGGGTATCGCAGGGGCTGGGAGCGGGTCCCTCTCCGAGGGCTGGGATCCCGGTGCGTTATGAACCCGCAGCTGCTGAGAGACTAAGGGCAGTTTAATATGAGGGGACGGTCGCGGCAGCGTCCTGAAAAGAACCTGCCTTGTTTTTTTTTTTTCAACCGGGCTTAATACAGGGGTGGCTGGAGTCCCTTCAGCCACGCCTGGCCAAACCCACACCTGCCACTGAAGTGGGTGGACACGTCGGGGCGAGGACCCTGCCGAGGGAATTAAATGAGATCCCTTGCCCTAAGGATCTGGGCTGAGCTGGCCAAAGCGATCTTTGTTGGTCCACCTAGTGTCCTGCCTGACTTCAGAGCCGGTCGTGGACGAGCGGGTCACCGCAGGCAATGGGGGAGGCTGTCCCCGCTCACATGCTGCTGCATCACCCCTGCAGGATCGCATCCTACCGAGGGTCCCGTCTTACGGGATCCGTGGGGCTGGGGGCTTGGCCACCCTGCCCTCGTGCTGTGCTGGGTCCGGGACCTGCTCAGCACACCCGTGGCCTGACATGCTTGGGCTCCTGCTGTCACCCCGCAGGGAGTTCCGGGGTAGAGCCATTGCACCGCGCTTTCAAGGAAGCCCCTTGCTAGCAGCCAGGCGACGATCTGGGACGGCGTTGTATTTGGCTTCGTTGCATTCAGCTCCGTTCTTGCAAATGAACTTCACTGCTAATTCCAACAGCAATATTTCTCCCCCTCAGGAATTAGATGGGGGAGGGGGGACTTTGTTTTTTACACTGAAATACTTTCTACTCAGCTATGAGCAAGTATTTGGAAATGTTTGAAATTAGAATAAAAAAAAAACTCGCCTCTTCCAACAGGCCTTTTAAAATAAGTGTCTCGACGTCTCACTTTTCTCTCTTTGTGTGTGTGTGTCTTAAATAAACAGGACTTGGAGAAGCCTGGGGCCACTCTAGTCGCACCAGCCCTTTGGATAATGTTGGACGGGAACTGGGATCTCATCTTTTGCAGGTACTGGCCTGGAAAGGAGAGCCATTGGGTATTAATGATTAAAGAAATCATACCCCATTTTGAACTGTAATTATCATTCTGTCTAATTTTTAACTGCTCACGTGATTCATCAAGGGAGAGGCCAAACTTGCTTAGACAGTACGGCGCATTTTCTTGACTTCTGGGAACTTTCTTTTAATCCTTTGCCTCTTCCGATCCACACTGGGTTGTCCCGCACGGATCAGCTGCTGGGAAGGATGGAGCCTCCATCCTTCATCCGAAGCAGAGAAAGTCAGGGAACGAGATGACAAGAGACGGGAACAGAGAGCTCTGCCTGGAGCTCTTTTGGGGGCAAAAGCACCTTTTTTTGGAAAGTCGTGTTAACGAAGTGAGAGAGAGAGAGTTTAAAGCTGGTTTAAACAAGGAATGGAAAGTGTATAAAACCTAGAGAAAGCCTCGGGGAGGTCAAGACACAGAAAACATGAAAGTCAGCTCCGATTCACTGTTGTCTGAAGGAGGAACTAGGGCATATTAGCTCTAAGGGTACTAGACGGGCAGATATTTTTGGTACCCTGGGGTCTCCCGGCCCTTAATACTTGGGGCCTATCCCTCTGCCAGTGCATACAAATAACTCCCATCGACGTCTGTCTGATGAATAGTCCTGTCTGTTTTACACATTGGTCGCAGCGGAGATCGCTCCCGAGGCTTCTTAGCACTTACTTAAGTATCCCCGGGGAAAAGGAAAGCGGGGACAGGAGCATCCCGGGCGCCGGGGCCGGGGCTGGGGCTGGGGTTCTTGGCTCCCGAGCGCCTGGGTCTGGCTCGCTGGTACAGCTCCCTGCCAGAGAGATGCCCTGGTTGAAGAGCCCCTTTGAAAGGCAAGGATTTCCCGGCTCGCCACTTAAGTCAGGATCACTTGCTCGCACCGTCCTTCTCGATCCGGCGGTGAAGGCGTGGGACGGGCAGCTCTCAGATAGTCTGTCTCCTTCCCTTCCAGACTTTGGATGGTTTCATATTTGTGGTGGCCCCCGATGGCAAGATCATGTACATCTCAGAGACGGCCTCCGTTCACCTGGGTTTATCGCAGGTACGGGGACAGGCGACCACCCTGCGGCCGGGGCGTGGGGTCCGAGCAGAAACCCCTTCTGCTCCTTGCATTGCCCCCGGGAGCTTCCCTGCTCCGCGCAGAGCCGCAGAAGCTGGGGCGATGCAATCGCCGGGGTGTACTTAGAAAGCTGCACAATAGCAGCAGCTGGGCGGCAAAGGCGATGCAGACGAAATCCTCCTCCTCCATCACAGGTAGAGCTGACCGGGAACAGCATTTATGAATACATCCACCCGGCCGACCACGACGAGATGACCGCGGTGCTCACAGCCCACCAGCCTTACCACTCCCACTTCGTGCAGGGTAAGGGGCAGCTCTTCTTCCCCCGCCCCCTTCCCCGGCCTGGGGGCGGCTTCGCCTTGGGCGATGGGCTCCCACCTGGCCCCGCTGCCCTGCTTTCACTCCTGTCTGTGCCTTCCCACCCCAGAGTACGAGATCGAGCGGTCCTTCTTCCTAAGGATGAAGTGTGTCCTGGCCAAGAGGAACGCCGGCCTGACCTGCGGGGGCTACAAGGTGCGCTGCGCGGGGCTTGCGCTTGAAACGAAGGGGCTGGACGCCCAGGCCAGAGCCTCTGCCCGGCTGGGCTGTTGCAGCTGGCTGGCGACCCGGGCCCAGAGCTCCTCTACTTAGTTTCAGGTTAAGGATCACAAACCCCAACTCCGCTCCAAACCTCAGTTTTGCATGCAAGCACCAAGGGTCCCAGGGGCTCTGTGCAAACTGCTGCCTGGACCTGGCCAGACTGTTTTCCCGTCTGTAGAAAATCGTGGAAGACTTCCTGAACGGCTCGTAAGGTTTTGGCAGGGTTTTGCAAGGATTTCTGGGTTCTGTTCATGGACCTCCTGTGACCTAAGCCTCCTTCTACTTCAGCTTTGTCGTCGGCGAGAATAGCAAAAAAAAAAAGCTCCTCATAAAAAAGCACCTTGAGGGCACGTGGATCAGTGCATGGACATCTCTGGCAATGACTCCCAAAAAAAGAGCATAACACAACATTATTAAAGTAGAAACGTATCGCTGCATGGCATGCCCGTAGATCTATAGCCAAGCCAAATATGCTGCATGACATGCCCATAGAGCTATAGCCAAATACATGGTTTAATGCATTGCTAGATGAGGCACACATCTTCCACAGCTTTACATTCATTAAAAACACATTAGTTGTCGTTTTAGCTGTAAAAATCAGTTGTAATTCGCTCGGCCCTTCTCTTTCTGAACACCTTTTCTCCACACATAGGCAGACAAGGTTCTTTGGGTAAATCTGGTATCTTTTATTAGACCAGCTCAAATAGCTGGAAAAAATCTTTGCAAGCTTTCGGGTATAAATCCCCTTCGCCAGGCTGAGGCGGCACCTGCAGTTGGTGTGTGCTCGTCCTGGATGGAAGATGTTTTCTGTAGCTATAAATCTGTAAGCGGTATTAAAAACATGGTTAGACCTTGCTACAAAACACACTTTAGGGGAGTGGAACCACTCCCACTGACTCTCATGGTCTTTGGATCAAGTCCCTAGTGCTGAAGGGTTCTGCAGGCCTGCCTCCCAGTATGTGTGTAGCCCGTCCCACTTGAGAGCATGCTTTCAACCTTTTGCCCGAGGCTAGACAGGGCCTGAGCATCCTTCCTGTGTCCCCGCAGGTTATCCATTGCAGCGGGTACCTGAAGATCCGCCAGTACAGCCTGGACATGTCCCCCTTCGATGGCTGCTACCAGAACGTGGGCCTGGTCGCCGTGGGCCACTCGCTCCCTCCCAGCGCGGTGACGGAAATCAAGCTGCACAGCAATATGTTCATGTTCCGAGCCAGCCTGGATATGAAGCTCATCTTCTTAGATTCCAGGTACCTGGAAGGTCTCTTCGGCCCCGAGCTTTCCCCGACAAGCCCCAGTCACACGTTAAATGCCTGTTTTCTTTGTCTCTTTCTCTCCTCCCCCACTCCAGGGTAGCCGAGCTAACAGGTTACGAGCCTCAGGACCTGATAGAGAAGACCCTCTACCACCACGTCCATAGCTGTGACACTTTCCACTTGCGCTGTGCTCATCATCTGTGTAAGGAGCTCCTTTTGCTAACTCACCCCACGCTGCACCCCGGCCCCTTCTGGGCCTGATGGGGACCTTCTCACTTTGCCTGTAGTGTGATTTAAATACAGTACTGGGATCTATTCCTTATCCAGAAAAGCCAGGCCAGCCGGAGGAGAGGCAACATCTCCAGCAGGTTGGAATGAACCCATCTTTGCTAGAAGCAAAGAGGCTGTAGGAGAGCTGGCAGGGTTGGGGGCAGAGAGAGATGTCTTAAGTCTGAAGTCAGGCAGAAGGCAGGGTAGCTATGCACCCTGTGTATATAGACTAAGGAAGGAAAGGAGAGGGAGCAGAAGCGCTCGTGAACTCGAGGAGCGCCAGGGAGCCGGGACTTCCCTCGAGACGAACCTCAGACATTCAGCTGAGCCGGGATGCCGGCTGGAGGGGATCTCGGCTCGAAACCGGTCATAGCAGTAGGAAGCCAGACTCTCCGTCACAAGTTTCCAACACGTCTCACAAAGATGTGGTGAACGTATTTCCTCCCACCCCACCAAGGGCTGGTAGAGGGATCTTTAGTCTGCTATCAATTAATATGAGGATAACATAAATTAAAACGGCGTTAGTTCCTGTACAGTGTCTTTGACTTCACACACAATGAAAGAAAGACTAGTAAAGCCGGAAAAGAGCATCTATTTATATACATGATATATGCATAGTCTAGATTATGCATATATAATCTGGATGCCCCAAATACCATAATCTTATATAATAAAAAGTATTACACACACGTACACTTTTTTGACTTTGCTAGTCTTTGTTCCATTGTGTGTCAAGTCAAAGATAGTGCACAGCAGCTAACGCCGTTTTAATTTATTTTATCCTGGCACGCACGCACACACGCGCGCGCGCGCGCACACACACACACACACACACACACACACACACACACACGGCTCTAGTGGGTTGAATACAGTATTTTTATCAAGATGTTGCCTCTCTGTCTGTCTGCCTATCTATATGTATATGTATGTGTGTGTATGAATATGTCTACATGTATACATACGTACATATAGATGTGTTGTGTGTGTATGTGTATCTATATCTGTCTCTGTATCTATATGTATGTGTTGGGAGTGGGTGTGTGCCTATTTCTTTATCTATTTGTATGTGTTGGGTGCGTGTGTATATATCTCTAGGTATCTATATGCAAGTGTTGGAGGTGTGTGTGTATGTATCTGTGCTGGGAGTGTGTGTACCTGTCTATGTATCTATATGTATGTGTTGGGTGTGGGTGTGTATACATCTGTTTATGTATCTACATGTAGGTTTGGGGTGTGTACGTGTGTATATATATAGCTCTATGTATCTATATGTAGTTCTTTTGCGGGGGTGTGGAGATATATATACATACACATATATACGTATCTATATGTGTGTATACATGTAGACACATTCATACACACACATATAAATACAGCTAGATAACATCTTGATGAGATAAATACCGTATTTAACCCAGCAGAGCCCTGTGCGCACGGGTCACGAAGCACAGGGTTTCCTCCTGACCTTCGCAGTGAACGCATTTTCTCAAAGGTAGCAGAGATGGAGCAATTCTTCCCCCACGGCACAGTGCCTGCCCCATCGCTGTCTCCCCGGGTTGCACACCACCGATAGCAATGGCTCGGGATCAGATTTGTCCGAAAACACTGGGACCAGCTCCCTGGAGCAGCAGGGGCAGCCCTTCCCCCGAGCCCCGTCTGGTGGTCTCTAGCAAGGGGGCCCTTGCCCCGCAGAGCAGCAGCACTGGATGACCGCTTCCCTCTCGCGTTCCTCCCGCAGTGCTGGTGAAAGGGCAAGTGACCACCAAGTACTACCGCTTCCTGGCCAAGCACGGCGGCTGGGTGTGGGTGCAGAGCTACGCCACCATCGTGCACAACAGCAGATCTTCGCGGCCCCACTGCATCGTCAGCGTTAACTACGTCCTCACGTGAGTGATCCCCCAGGCTGCTCTAAGATGCTCGGCTGGGGCATGGCCTCCCCGGTCCCCACTCCCCTAAATCTGCTTAATCCCACGGCCGACCACGGCAGGCGCACCAGGCTGGCTAGGAAACACATTGCACACTTTCATCTAGATGAAGGGTTTCCCGTCTGTCTTTCTCTCTCCCTTTCACTAGGGGAAAGATTTAGAGGTTTGTCACCCACATATTTTGCTCCATCTCTTTTCTTTCTTTTTTACAGTTTAAATGCACCCAACATTAAATAAAATTTAATGCAGCGTAAAAAAAAAAAAAAAAGGTTTCCACGTACGGAGTTATTTATACTTAACAAACAGGACATCTGTTTTCCTTTTCAAAAAGCTGTGGTTTGAAGTTCCTAATTTCATCCAGAGTTTCTATCAAAGCTCTGAGAGAGGGTCCCCCCGACTTCTGAGAGAGCGATCCTTATATTGAAGCACAAAGAAAGTCTGTGGCCAAAAAGATCAGTTTAATCTTCACAGCAGAACCAGACCAAACAGCTTCCTCACCAAACAGAAAAGGAGGAGAAAAATAAATATCTCCCCCTAGACCCCCTGCCAAAAAAAAAAAGCCTCTTGGTTTTAAGAGTTAACGATGACATCTTGGCTGTTCCCCTAAGCTCATCCCAGGGCATTGCAGGCGACTCGGATGGATATCGCTGTACCTGCAGCTTAAACTGAAACACCCGATGGGGGAGTTTTAATTATCTCCAGCTGGTGATGATTGCCATGATGAGTCCTTCCTATGGGAATAATAATGGTTGTTGCTGGCAGTGCCACTGCATTCAAATCGTATGACCTGCTGCCTTGGCAGCGAGGAAACAAGCCAGGGTCACTGTCAAATGCAGACTACCTGGACATGGGCATGCTTGCATTCCAGTACCAAGTCCAAGTCCAAAAGTACGAAGTATAGCTAATGAGAGGGAAACTCTTCCAGGTCCCACTCTGCTGTGATTCGAGTCTGAAACCCGCTTTTATGGGTCTATATAGAGCTGGAGGCATGTTTGGGGCACTCATTTTTTAAAGACGGGCTTATGAAATCGAAGTGATCTGTTACCGAGGGGAGGCAGAACCTGAACTCTGGTCTTGGGAATGGGCACTTGAGTGCACGGGGGGGGGGAGGGAGTTGTATAGTGATGACATACGAGCCTTGCTACTCTGCAACAACACTGTGGCTTCTGTGCTTGTTTCCACCTGAAGACCTGCCCGCACCTGGGGGAATCACTTGATCGCGGTTTCAGTGAGCTTGGGGTATGTGCGCTAAACCCCCTCCATAGATGGACTCCCACGCTTCCAGCTGGCAGTTGCGAGAAGTCCTCTTGATGCTCCTCTTTTTACAAACACAACACAACCAAGTAGGAGTCAACACTGGCATTTACCCAGCAGCAGCACCGCTCTGGATTAGCAGGGGATTGACACCTCACTCCTATTTCAGCTATTCCATACATGCGCATCTCAGCGCTCAGCAAAGTCCCTCTCCACGCTTGCATTTGACAATTTTCGAGTTTCAATTAAATCCAAGCTTGGAGGTAAACTACATTCTCTTGACAAAAGCACCAGTGCAACGTGACTTGTAAGCAGCAAAAAAATGTCTGTAGATCTCTCTCTCTCTCTCTCTCTCTTTTTAATGGGGAGGGGAGAAAAACAGCCCTCCCCATTAAAGGTGCTTTTGTATATCAGAGACTTCACAAGCTCAAGGTTTGTTTTCATGCGACTGCCTGTGGGTTAGCAGTCATTTTTTAAATCCAAAAACAGTGCAGAGCCATGCAGACCTATGTTAAGTGGCCTGACTGGAAATTTAACATCCCACTGGAGAAGCCCAAGTTCTGCTCTGGGCTATTTTGAACCGGGCTGTTTTGTTTGCCAGTGAAACCCCCTCGCAACCTTTCTGCTCTTTTCCTATTGATTCTGTCATCTGTCGGCTCTGGGTAATAATTATTGGAGAACATAACAGAAAAAAGGGGCAGTGATTGTGCATGGGACGAAAGGATTTAAACATCAGCGTAGTGAGTTGTTTTGCTGGGGTGGAGGTGGGGGGAGGAATTGCCCCCCTTCCCAGAAAGATATCATCTCCATCTCAACAGGCTTTCAGGCATTATTCAGACAAAACTCCGTGTGGAGCCTGGCCACCTTTTAAACCTGGCTTATTCGGGGAATAAAAGACCATCAAGTGGTTCTGTTGACAGGCTTCTCACAAGGGACAGGTGGCAGTTAGTTTGCTACCCCCTTGCACATCTGGGTGCAGCTGGCTGATTGACAGGGTGGCCGCAAACCGGACAGATGTGTATCGGGTCTCCCTGGCAGCAGAACGGTCTGCTAGCTCTTTCTTTTGGAGGGGACAGAGGGACAAGTCTGTCTGTATATCTGCATATGTATATATGCCGTGGATCTGTGTGTGTATCGACGCAAGAGGCAAGGATTCCTTAGGGCAGTATCGTTTATTGGAACGACTGTACAGTTGGGGCAGAGTTAGACAAGTTTTAGGGAATGCAAGACGTTTTTCTTTAGGTCTGACCAGAATATAGAATCACAGAATCATAGAAAATGAGGGTTAGAAGGGACCTTAGGAGATCATTTAGTCCTATCCCCGTGCTCAAAGCAGGACATCCCCAGCTACATCATGCCAGCCAAGGCTTTATCTTAAAAACCTCTAAGGAGAGAGATCCCACAACCTTTCTCTTTAGAGGAGTTAATATGTGTATATATATGTGTGTACATGCATGCGTACAACATATCTATGTGCATGTGTTCAAATATGACATCTGAACACACACACATATCTGCATATGTGTGTGGGTACATACATACCAATGTGTATATATAGCTCATATGCAGCTGTTTACATACCCATGCCTACCTACTGTAGTTCTAAAAATTGTCATAACTTTATTTAGTTTCATTTGATTTCCTGCATTCTTACATGAGATGTCTTTTCATTTTCACACAGGAATACAGATTGTAAACATATGTCTACACTTTATATATGTTCACCTAAGATGTCTTTTATTGGGAAGGTATTATTCTTTTATCTCAAATGTTTCCTTAATGGAATAGTTCATGCTACATAGCAAGTTCTGGAGGTATTGAACTAGGTAAGAATAGTCCCTTTACTCTTTAATTGATTGTTTGGAGTCCAGATATAGAAAGAAAGAAGGAGATTCTGTCAAAGGCAGATATGAAATGCTGTGATGTCTGTTATTGGCTACTGCAACAGTCATGTTGTTGAAGCCTGCAGTGCAGAATACAAAGACACTCTGACTACATTAGTCTTGTTTTGGTATGTTTAGGTCCCCGAGGTTCAATCAGGTCTGACTATCTCTTCATTAGTGCTCAGGAGAACAAGAGATCATGTAATATTTTTCTGCACTGAAGTTCCCACACTGGTAATAACTGCAATAGATCTCCAAGACACGCGTGGCACTTACTGCCTTTTTTAGCCTGCTGATAGCCTGCAGTCTAGAAAACAAGGACAGACTGCATTCTGTTTCATCATACTTTCCAGGTAGATAAGTGGAAGTTTTAAAAAAATGAGTTATAGCCAACATCTGGAACAGCAGATAACATTGTGACCATTAGTCACAAGAGGAAGAAAGCTGTTTTGGAAGAAAGTTCCCAGTTAGAAGAGCCAGCAATTTTGTTAAATTCACCTTAGGAAGGGTAGGGTAAACTGTCCTGATTAACTATTCATAGTTACTGAAGCCAGCCAGCATTTGATCACTCGAATGTGCAACATAGGGACTGCTAAGGTAGGAGGGTCTGGAGGATACAAGGTTCTCTTTGGCTTCAGTAGATCTTGGATCTGACCCATGTTATGGAACTTGTTCCAGGAAGGCAGAACAAAAGTTTTGTTGCACTCAAGGTTTGCTATGTTTAATATTCTTTATTCTAATATAAATCCTATAGCTACTAAAGTTTCTTTAGGATGACATTGGATTATTCCACTAAACCAAGAACAGCTGTGACGTATGCGTGTATGCTGTGGGTTCTTTTCATACTTTTGTTCTATGGCAGTTGATATATGGAAAAGCCACTTGTACAGATGCAGCTCTTGGCAGATGCAGGCACACAAGTTACAGCCTAGCAAGGTTATAAAATCACTTAAAAGAAATCTGCTTAAGAGGAAAAATGCACATTTCTTGACTTGGTCTTTGCAAATGACATGTATATTTAACTAAAACATAGTGAGGAATGCCAACTGGTTGATTTTGTTCTTGGAAATAATAAAGAGCCTTGGTTTGGACTGCAGGTGAGATGCTAATTTGAAATATAGAGGTTATTTTGAAAATGAGCTAGCCTCTCTTTATCATTATATTTTGATGAAAAGTAATACAAAAGGGGAAAATAGTTTTATGGAAATATATTTTTCACTATTTTCAATACTTATAAATGCTGTCACTTTTTGTGATATTAAGTGTTATTCAAGATTGGCCTCACTGGTTTTAGTGGAATTGCTTGTAGAGAAGGCAGCTGGTCAGTGTGAGTAAAGTATGACAGGATGGCCCTTGCAAAAAAAAAATAAGAGTCATTGTACTACACTAGTGTTATCCTTGTCAAAACAACTGGTTTCAGTGTAACTAAAGTCAGGAAAAAAGTAAGACATTTGTATAACTAATTTATATCTCCTCAAGCTAAATGTCTCTTGGTCATATAAGAATGCAAGAAGAAAGAGAGAGAAGCAGGGTTTATGAAGAAAAAAATTGTTTTTTAAAAAAAAAAATAACCTTACAGAAATTCCCATGGCCCATAAATCTCTGGCTTTGAAAAATTGAATTCTAAGACTAAGAACAAATGTTCTTAATAAGTGTAAGTACCAAACTATTTGCAGAGGATACCAGAGTTGGGATCATTTATACAAGACAGAAGAATTTATTTTTAATGATAATGTATCCAAAATAAAAATATGGCTCTTGTGGTTTCTTGTTTTAACATACAGAAAATTGCTACGCTTTTGTATTTTGATTACAATAAGTAAG